CAACAACACCCTGTTCATTGTGTCTATCAGTAAGACTCTGGCAGCCAACGAGCCACACCTCACCCTGGAGTTCTTGGAGGAGTGTATTTCGGGATTCAGCAAATCAAGTGAGTAGCTCTAGTGTGCTGACCACCAGCTTGAAGAGATGTGTGTTGATAGCTGTCTGGTTTAGTCAGTCCAGCTTCCTCATGTTACTGAGTCGCAGCAAGTGGAATCTGCAAGTGCTGCTCAGAGCTGCTTTCAGCTTGTCCATTTCTGGCTGTGTCCTGGCTGAGCTGTGAGGGCCTGGAGGCAGCAGCTCTCTGGCTGCATGGCACCTCTCAGGGCAGAGCCTGCACGTCTGAGTGTGTCCTTGGCATTCTCGTGGAGCGGATAGGAAACAGGTAGCTACCTTGTAAACCTTAGAATTCATGTTCAAATGAGGTTTGCTGGACACCTCGTTCCTCTAGAGGGTTGAGTTCATTCAGAGACAGATCTGACTGTGACAGTCTGTACAGTGGTTACTGTGGAGAGATTTCTGTCAGGCTGTTATTAAAGTACCAGAAGCAGAGAATATTGTAGAACAGAAAACCTCAGTTTGAGGTCTGTGATAGTGAAGGTTTGAATTCTGGAAGATTTGTACACCACAGTTACAAGTTCCTTAGTCGTAGCAGAGCAAATCTTTTCAGACTGAGCCTCTCTCACGTGCACATCTGGTTCTGGTGCTCTCCTCCTGCCATCCCTTGTTCCCAGGCACAACACACCTCTGACTACTGTGGGAAGCTGCTTAGAATGCGTTCTCAAGATTCCAAAGAAAGTAAATTAAGTAGTCCTGCCTGACACTGAATGCATAGATCCCTATGTCACATCTTGTGATAAGATACTCAGATGTCACCTTCTCCTTGCCAGATGCCTCCAGATGTTCCCTGATATCAGTGTTAGAGTATTCTTCACTCAGCTCTGGCACTAATTACTTTAGACAGTAAAACTGAGAGGAGAAGTGCTCCCAAAGAATTACATAGAAGTGCAGGCTGTGTTACAAGGTGACTTTTTCTTTCAGGCATTGAGCTGAAGCACCTGTGCCTGGAGTATATGAC